TGGAACCTGTCCTGTCTTGACTTTGTTTGCAGTGTATGTGATGCTCAGGTCCATGATGCACAGGGGCAAGAGATGGCAGGGAAGGCTAAGGGGACTGCTAGTGCTGTCAAAGTCTTAATTACAAGGTACTTCTGACTTTATTACAGGAGTCCCTTTGAAGGCAAAAACTACTGATGGGAAAGAGAATTTTGGTTTTTTTTTTAAAAAAAAGTTTTATTTTTTTTCAGACATTGTAAGGGCAGAACAGTACAAGCCTGTACAGAACAAACGCATTTCGTTATGTGGAGGTCAGCAGCTTTATAAGTCCTTACCCTTTCTGTGAAAACGAAGCAGAACAGTCAAGTGATTTAAAGCACGCTGACTTTTACTAGTCAAAACATTCCCATGAACAATGGATCACAAAGCCTTTAGAAACATCAAATGTAAAGCTCCAGGGAGGTACACAGTTTACGTTTATTTCATTAGAAAGAAACTCCTTAAAAAAAATTCCCTTACAAAAACACAACGAGCATCCCGAGTGGAGAATGGAAAGGTTCTGGTTTAACGGCTGTCGCTGGGCCATCAGAGCTGAGGCCCTGGACAGGAGTGTGGGAAGACACCACGCAGATCGAAGGCTGTGCTGAAGTCATAGGTCTCAGTGATGTGTCCTTTGACAAGCCTGAGATTCTTCATGCAGCCGCGAAATGGAGTGTTTATAGTAAGGCAGTTCTGCTTCACATTACCTGTAATACAAGAGCAGAATACAGAGTCCTGTAAGCACTGAGCGTTTATTTTTTAATCTGGTTAACAGTCGCCTGATGTAGAAATTAGGTTTTAGAACCCTTCCATGTAACATCATTGTAAAAGGCTCTCTGTGTTGTACAAGATCTACGCTCAAATGTATAGGACAAACTTATTATTCTAAAGTGTCTTAAGTTAAAGTACTAATGGCACTACAGACACCTTTTAAACTGCAACTAAAACACAATTCTGCCAGTGGGAACATGTACAGCTCAGGCACAACTAGAAGTAAAAAAAAAAAAAAAAAAATCCATACGCACCAGGAAAACCTCCAACATATACAGGGTCATTGGTGTCTGCAGAGGTAGACTGAGAATGTGGGTTGTCGGTCTGGACTGTGACCCCATCCACTGTCAAAATGAGTCCGTGCTTGGTCTTGTTAGCCAGGAGATGATGCCACTTCCCATCACAGAGGGTGCTGGAGCCTCTCGGTTTGTAGGTGGCAGATATTCGCCCTGCGCCGTTATTTACGTGGAAAAGAACCTGCAGAAACGCAACCTCTTTTAGAATCCTCCTTTCTCCAAGGGTGAAATGAAATAATATAGTTGAACTGCTCTCAATAGCGTATACTATTTATGTAATAAATCAGGGATTTTTTGGGACCATCTAATTATTATTTTTTAAAGTGTCCACAATGGGTTGGCTCACAGGACCCAGGCAGCAAACACTACGAGGCACTCTAGAGCTGCCAGGGCACTCTAACCTGCGAGTGTTTTGGAGGTGGGAGGAACCTGGGACATTTACTGATACCCCACACAAACCCATTCACTTGGAATCATATCATCTATATTTCTTAGCAGCGATGGCAACTCCCTTCTTTTCCCTCTGGAATTGTGTAAGACGTTCTACTGCCATCTGCCTTCAAAAAAACGGAATAGCAGCACAATAATACCCACAAAGAAGCCTTACTGACACCCTAATCTTCAGTGATTGAAACCGATACCCTACACTCATAAGGAACTTGGTGTCATTTGCCAGCTTGTTGAAAAAAGCCCATTGTTTGACAAACCATGCAACTGCAGATTACAGGAATACTTTCCATATATGCATACCGCTATTCTGGTTAATATAGACTTCTCCAGTTTCATATACTCCTTTTTTTTTGCATAGCAATTATATCATTTTCTTTAGTACAGAATTTGAAGAGTTGACCTCACTGCACTTCTTTGGACTATCTAACCAGGTTTTCCGAGCTCCACATTTCCGCTCGATTTCCGAGAAATATCAATAGAAAACCGAGCTTGAGAAAGGAAAACAAAACGATTGTGACTCTTCCCTCGAAACACTGTTGGCAAAGCCAGCGGGAGATCATGACGAGAGAGCCGAGGCTGAGCTGCCCCTTCTGGCCCAGAGACTGACCTCGCCCTTGACCAGCTCCAGCCCGATCGCGTCCACCTTTGCACTGCTGATCCCCAGCAGGACCCCGTCCTGCACTGGGGTCCGGAACTCGAGGGCCACGGCCAAATCCGAGCGTACCTTGTATCCTTCTTTCACTGTAGAGGCAGAGGAAATTGTCAGGCCATGGCCTCCTGTTTTATCTGGTAGCGAACAGCCTTTCTTTTCTGAGCCTGGCTATGCCCATGATTTCATGTTGTTACATGACCTTTACACTTAATCGTGCTTCAAGAGGCTAGGTTTCTAAACAACTACAAAACATGAAATCATTTTATTGAACTATTATTTTAGGTTTTACAATGCATCTCATGTGTCCTCTAGCACTCTTATTGTCACAATGATATATGTCCATTAGATAAACAAATATTTCTTCTACTTTCCATTTCGTCTTGAAATAATTGCATTTAAAATACGGCTCTTGTCATCTGATGGGAATGCTTGAAAACATTCCAAGCTTTTAATGTTTCCTGTCACCCAAGAGTTTGTACATACAGTAGGTTTACCAATCATTTCAGGAGTAAAATAAAATGAACCAGGAGGCAAAGTCTATAAAATGTCTTTAGAAAAAGAATGCATTCACTAGGGAGATATAATACTCACAGCACTCATGTTTAGAAACCACAAAGTTGAAGACTAATGAAAGAGAAACTTTTAACCAGCAGATATTTTTAATGATACACACAGTGCGGATGAACCACTATCACGCTTTTGGGGAATTTAGTGAAACTGAGTGTTCTGATCCATTTTACGTTTAACTGTTGCCTGAATAATTTGTTATCCTGAAAATTGTGTTGTGCAAGTAACTCCTTTAGTCCACCCACTCAATGTTTCTGGTTTTTGTTCGGGGCTCTGTGTGTAACAAAAAGCACAAGAGAATGGGCCGTTAGCAAAAGAGAAACTCAAAGAGAATCTTGCTGGTGATGACCCCAATACCTTACCTAACGCTGCAAATCCAGTTCCTTCAAAGTATGTGCCCTCTTGGGCTCCAGTGTAGCAGGAGCCAAGAGCATGAACCGAGGCAGGGCTCTTTGTGTCCAAGAGATTATTGTTCAACATCACCTTGCGTATACAGGCTGGAACACTGTGTGTCACCTGAGAGTGTGAATGAAAGAAGGTACATATCAACGAGTTCCTGCCTCTTTCCCCAGCAACACATCGGTTTGACAACTCAAGCTGTCTTAATATGTACTGTAGTTCTTTATAACCTCAATCCCCGGTCTCTTTGAAATTTCTTAAATAACTGATGACAGAACAATTACTTCCTTGTGTGAATAAAATGTTACCCAACCTGCTGGTAACCTTTCAGACTTTTAAATTAAAAGGTAAAACTAGAAAGAAATACAAATAAAAGAACAGCCTGCATCTCAGCTTCCCGTGTCCATTTGCCTTCCACTGCTAAAGTCAAGGTCTTTTTCATCTTTGTAAAGTGTTGTGAATTAAAGTTAGTTGAGCAGTTTTTATATTTGCGTTCATGCCTATTTGTTCGTGTAACAGACTGCACTGTAGGTACAGTACATCACAATTCTAATGAAGGTAAATGTGCACAGACGATTTGTACCAGAGGGTATTTAAATAGTGACAGTGTACTTACATTTCCAATCTTCTTGGCAATGTAGCCTACTGGAAGGCCACCCAGGTACAGCTTTCCTTCCACATCAAGATAATTCCCAGTTCCCACAGCCTCCACTGACAGAGACTCCTTCCCATCTATACTGATTCTCACACTCTTCTTAGCAAATTCAGTCTTAATCTGCAAAAAAAAAAAGGAACTTGTCTTCAGCATTAGGAGCTAAAGGGAACTCTTCTAGCAACAGTTCACAAAAAAAGAGGACTTCAAAATGCAAGACAATGGAGAACTTGCTTGTCTCTGTGTATGTATACATCTACCACTATATTTTAACTGTTAAGTAAATAGTGACGGTAGTCGGCAAAAAGCGCAGACGTGGATGTGGCATGGATAGGGAGAGCACTGGTTTATTTGCACAGTGCATTCGATTTCAGCTGCTGAAATTTGAACCAGCTGGACCAGATCCCCTCATCAACGGGCTCACAACCACCAAATGAGCTAGACGGACCAAATGGCTTTCTCTCACACGTTAACCATTCTCGATGGTTCGCCTGTTCCATCGTGCCGCTCCGAAGGCACGTTGTCACCATGCAGACGCGAGGGTGTGAACCTGCCCGGCTGCCCCCCTGTGTACTCACCGTGTGCCACTGGCCATCACGGACGTCATGGGGGTGCGTTGCCACGGCTACAGTCTTGCCAGGGTCACAGGTGAAGAACAGGCGCCCGTCCACCAACTGCAAGGCTGTGTAATCAACCTGGTTGGAGTTGGCCATGTAATACACCAGGCCACTCGAGGCCACCGTGCGCAGGGAAAGCTGGATGGTAAACCTAAACGAGAAGCATGTTTTCACCCTTCAAATTTTCTGTTTGGTTTAGAAATAACATACAGAATAATATACAATAAGAATTCTCATCCTGTATCAAGTCCTACTGATCTGAGGTCTGAACTTGAAATGCTGCCCGTATGAAAAATAAAGCTTTGCCAGCATTTTGCAATTCATTTTCCATCATTTTGGAAGCAGGCGCTGCAAGCGGAGTGTAAAATTAACTCATGCTTCAATACTTCATCAGAGGAGAAGGTAGTGTCTTCATGATTCTATAAATGAAGGAAAAGCTGCAGATGTTTACTAAGCTTTATAATCTTCTAAAGGAAATAAGAAACTGCATAAAAATCTTAATTTGATCCTCAGCTGTAATCAAGTTTTGCCATGAAGTGATGCCTCTTCTGAATCAGCATAGAAGAGACTGAATGAAATACTCACCTTTTCCTTACTTCATTGCGACTGATGGGCAAGATCATGTGGCTGTTTTTGGAAAGACCAAACTGGTGGGCCTCAGGGACGATCTCTGGCAGTCCTTCCTCTGTACACTGAGGTCAGCCAACAGCAACAACAAAAGCAAGAGAAAACTGAGGAACTGAGAACAGGCTTCATTATCAGATCAACAAGTCCTGATTTCAAGGACTATCCCTCTACACCAGTAATTTTTAAAGAATTTAAAACATTTCCAAAACCCCAACTGTGCCATAAATACTCAGCATACCATATCTGCAGCTTAGCCCCACTTGAACTGAGGTTGATTTCATCTCTTAACTTGAACATGAAGGTGTGAAACTATTTTTCAACCACTGTATCTTCTCCTAAGATCTCAGACCACGGTTTGTTTTCTTAAGATCATACAACAGCACGCAGCTGTACAGAACAGTACAGAACTGTTGGGGAACAGCAGAAGCGACCCCTCTGCGAGCTGGACGGTACCTCAGCTGGGCCCGGGCTCTGGGAGGTCTGTGCCGCGGTGGTGACGGTGACCGGCCCGGCTGCTGTGGGCGAGGCCACAGGCTCGCCCCCCAGATCCTCCTCCTCGTGGGCGACCACAGGCTGAGGCCTCTCCTCCAGCAGGCAGCTGTCCATGTCCACGTTCTGATACCTCGCCGCGCGGGACAGGTCCAGGAGCCTGGACCACAACAGACGCCACAAACAGACACACGGCTTGTTTAACTCTGCCCTGCCTCCGAACCCAAGAGGATCCCCATCACCGTGTTCTCGCAGGCTCAAAGCGATGCCGTGATTGACCTTGCGCAGCTCAGCTCAACACTCCCATTAAAATCAAAGGAACGGCAGTGGGAATGCCGCAAACAGATCGAGCCGCGGTATTGAATAATAAACACCCTCCAGCTACGAACTCACTCCATATTGAAGGCCAAGTTCTGGATGCAGCCGTAGAAAGATCTGGTGGTCGTGAGAAAGCCCGCCCCCTCTCCTGGAGGGATCCCCCCGACGTAGAACTTGGAGAGAGTGAGGGAGCTGCGATCTGCCGCTGGTCCCAGCCTCATCTCCTCCTTGCTGTCGTCGTCCACCTGCACTGTCACCGCCCTGCCGGACAAGCACGTGCACAGGTAAGGGGAGAGAATGCGCTTCGGCGGTCTTGGACAGGTGTTTTATGAGAATTATTATTATTATAATGTAAAATCCTGGGTTCGGTAAAATGTTTCAGGCATTCACGTGAAGGACAACAGAGCTTTCGCTGGCCGATTATCAAACTTTATTGATAAAACAAAATAAAAAAAACTAGCCGACCAAGCCAGAAGAAGACAAAGAATCAAAATAACGGACACAGCGCGAGCCTGCATTCTCTCCTCAACCGTCCACACCACACTGGGTCAGAGATTAAATAAAACTTCACTCGCACCAAACAAATGACCACACACTGAACACGTTAGCCCAAATATGTCTCACAATAATACTTCAACGGTGATCGACGTCCAAATGGTTTTTACATTGAATTCCCTATTTTAACTTGTTGATAGAATGAGACACAAGCAGCCAAACAGGTTGAAAAAAATTAAAGTTCCTATACAAGATGAAAAGTGTTTTCCTTTTTTTCCCCTCCCTCTGAGTGACAATCAGAGTCTTCCAAAATGTGATTTTTAATTCTCAGAATTTGGGAGATAATCATGTATTGTTGATTCTTGTGTCAAGAACCTTAATGTGGAAGATGCTAAATTAAACTTCTCTGAAATGACTGAAAGAAACTTCTAATACTGTATGTCAAAATCAAATCGAATTGTTACAAATTAACTGTAACGAGACACATCTTGGAAGAGTTACCTGATATTTACAAGTTCATTATTTCATTTTTGTATTAATCATGTAAATTTAGCACATTGGCAATTACATTAAGAATATGGTCTTTAGTGTTTTACTTTGCATATCCCCTGTGAAACTTTCTTTTTGACCTTAGCTATTCATATTTGTGTTACCTAATTCATAGTTATTTTACTACAAAATGTCTCAGTATCATACTTCATGTCTATGTCATGCATGACGATCACATGTGTAAGAGGATTTCAAGGATATCACAAGAAAAATGGTCTTCGGTTTTGCTTCTACCTCTTGGAGCGAGACAGAATAAGGGAATGCTCTTCCCCATCGCTGAAGGTCCCCATCTTTGGCTTGACCACGGCCTTTTTAATATGAGCCCCATCTGCTGCGTTCATGTGCACTTCCAGACGGCCGTTCATCAACATGACTGCTAGGAAGCCCTGAAAGAAACATGTGGGATGAATTCATGCTGTTCGGCACGGTCTCACCTCACACTGTATTACTGCGCCATTGATAGGCTGCACAAAGCAGAAAATAAGCCATGTGTGCTCATTTTGAGACCATGCTGCTACGAATATCTGCATTTTAACCACTGTCACCTCCGCCAACTGCAATTGTCCCTTTCAGCAAAAGCTTGATCTTAATTGTAACCTTTGTCACAGTTTTATGTTTACGTTTTATGTTGCACTACCTGTACACACACTCATTTAGTGATACTTGTTTTACATCCATTAAGAAATGTAATATGCTAACTGATGCCAGAACAGTTACGTGGAAAAAAGATCTTTTCCCACCTGGACGGTCTGTCTTCGCCTCCGCTTTCCTCCTTTGCCGAATCCTGTCAGGATCAGGCCGGTGTCGTTTTTGGTGGAGAATGTGGCCATGATTTCAGACTGAGGAGTTAGAGTCACAGGCAGTAGCTCAAGGAAGCCCTCCTTCAAGACAGTCACGCTGCGAATGGGCTGAGCAGGAGAGAAGAATGGACAGTTTTGCATGGAGGTTCAGACGGTATTACTGAGGAACACTGAAAAGAAAAGTATTCTCAGATAAAAAATCCACATACAAAAAATTGGTCCAGCCCCTGGAGGAGCAGACTAAATGCTTTCACTTTATAAAATTAAGTTCTTTAGCTCCTTATTTTCTTACTGGAGAAACAGGTGCTTATGAGTCAAGAAAAAGATCATCACATACTTTAATCAATCATATTTTAATATTTTAATCAATAGTATGTTTCAGTGATCAGAAGCACATCTCAGAAAGAATCAAGGCCTTCATGTGGTAGTGAAAAGGGATAAAACATTAAATACGGTATTAACAAATCTCTGAACGGGTACACCAAAAGCAAAAGGCAGTTATTTGCATGACTTAAGAGTTGAAAAATGTTGACCAGATGTCATGCAAGAACGGTAATAAAATATTTCTGCCTTAAATCTTTTTTTTTTTCAGATATTAAGGAATACCAGTCTAGTCTTTTTGTTCTCTTGGTGCAGCACTTCCTAATGCTTTAGACTTTAGGGCATCTATCAAAGATCAGGAATCTGTGGTAACATCTTTGATTCAATCAGTGCAGTCAGAGGTCATGTGAAAGATGCCTTTTTATCTTCATAACTGTGCTTACATTCTTACCAGCTTAAATTATGTTTGATCTCTTCCAGGTTTGATTCTTTGAATGCAGTAAACATTCTTAAACATCCTTAACAAGCTGCAGGATGGCGAGAACTCAGGGGCTGGGATTTTAACTATAATAGCATGTTAACTCCCTGTAGACTTACATGTTGTTTGGACTTCATGGACTCTCTGGCCTTTCCTTTATTTCCCTAAATAAAGCTCTGAGTCCTGTGGACCAATATGTTCAAGGCATATCTTAAAACTCAGTTCCTGAAACTAGTTCTCTTTAAGTTTCTGTATTAATAAGTATATACATGTATCGATTGTTTTGCCTAGTTTTATTGTAAAATGCTTAAAGATGATGTGTCAATAAAGTGGTACGGAGAACTAAAATTCTTATTATGTAATGTTTTGGATCTAAAGGAAAATCAGAAGAAACAGTTTGCAGTTTGATCATTTTTGGACTGTGGGGTCTGAAAGGTATATTTGCATATCTAAGTCATTCAGAATTTTACTTCAAAAAGAAAAGAGCATATTATTAAAATCTGTAAACAATCTAGAACAGTGCGATGTACGTAGTGACTAGGTACTAGGTAATACAGCTTTATGTTATGATAATGTATTGGTAGACCTTTCATTGTGAATCACATGTTTTTAAGACAGCTGAAGATCCAGTGTAAAGCAGTGTATGCACACAAGGTCTGACTGTGGAGCATGCATTTTGCTAGATGAAAACAATAGTAAGTAGCTTGTAAAAGTAATCCAGTTCTTCAGGAAAATTACAGATTTTATAAGCATTCTCATGCAGAAACAGCAGTACTTTTAATACTCCCCTCTGAATAAAAATGTTTACCGATGCATTCTCTTGCCAGTTCCAATAAATGGTTTTATTTTCTGCGTGTTTTTGGAAACATGTATTTATTTTTGTGCGACTGAATTGAAACCAAAAGACAAACACTGGCTTATATTGTATTCTATCACATAAACGTTTCTCACGGGATAAAGGATAAAAGCAAAGGTTTGTTCTATGCTGAAAGGTCAAGAAAAACATTTCAGCTGTGGAGCTTCTTCAGGAGTGAGGAAGAAAAGGAAAGTAGCACATAAATAAGGCACAGGAGAACACAAGACAGTAGTTACAGTAAGCAGGGAGCAAATGGGCACAAAGCAGATGAGAATAAGTGTCCAGTCCAAACTTGGGGAGAACTGGTGGAGAGGTGTGAAAAGTCAAAATCTGGAAATGAACAGAGGATTTAGACGGAGCTCCAAGTTTAAGGGTAATCTGAGTGGCCAATCTTCATACTACTTCATTACAAAGTTCTTATATTGCTTTCACCAGCTCTACATGGTTCTTACCTCTAACACGCAGCCCTTTCTGACCCCATAGGCATCTCTGAGCAGGTCAAAGTTAGACCGGGAAATCTCCACATTTTTGATGCACCCAACATAACTCCTGGTTATAATCTGCTTCCTAGAAGATTGAATTAACAATTTAATTCTCTTAGAAGAATACTGAATGATGACATAACATTCAATCTGTACTTTGCAGTGTACGGGTTAGATCTCCAAGCAAGTGGATCAGGGGTTCATATCCGAGATGGAGCAGAGCTATCGTGCCCTTGAGCAATCTGCTTTACTCGCACTGCTGTCCTTTATATAAGGGTACTCTCCAAGTGGTCACTGAGTGTTCTCAATTAGCCAATCTAGTTAACAAAAACAATAAAATATACTCCCTAAATACTTTCCTTCTAGGCATGAAATATGTTTTTTTCCCCATGTTAAATTGGCTGAACCATTTACCCCTACAGAAAAAAATTATTAAACATATTTCTGCAGAGGTAAGACTGCAAGGTGATGTCACTTGTATCTAGAACGCTGTAGGTACCTGATGGCTCGGGAGCGAGGCAGCCCCCCGATGTAAATGGGGTCCCTCTCCGAGCGATTGAGATCGGAGGCGTTGCCTGGGGACATTCCCTCCATAGTCTCTCTGTCAGACGGCACATAGGCATCCATCACAGCTAAGTAACCTAAACAGGAACACGTCACTGTGAGCATCTTTATTCACTATATCAACTTATCACCTCCTTCGAGGCTTGAAATGTCTTCAAGAGGAGAAATAAAAACAGTCCTTTTTGTGTGTCATACCATTTGAGATTTAATTTTTGACATTTGGATGATTTTCTTAATGACGACAAAAAATGGACTTTATTAATCTTAATAATTGCACCCGAAACACGGACCTTAGTGGATGTATATTATGAGAACAGATTGTTGTGTGACTGCTGTAAGAAAAACAATTTTATAAAAATCCTGTTGATGGGTCATATGAAGTTAATCAAAGTCACATAATCTGGAAGCAATTTACCTTTATTACCTTAAACTGTGGTACTGTTGTTACTCAAGCAAACACATGGATGCAATTAATAAAAAGATTGACCCACAAAGCTTTATATGAGCTGTTTTTTTTCCTGATACCAACAAAGTAAATGCAGAAACCAATTACAGATGCAAAACAAAATTTATTGTAATCACTTCAGTGGTTTTAAATGTAGTCCTGTTTAAAATCAATAATTTAAATATACAGATATACTGATACTTTTCTAGGTGAGCAATAAAAGGACCAGATTTATCCAGTATTATGAACCAATAATTTAGATTAACTAGACAACTCATATTGACTGCAGACTCACATTATATTTGCTATAATGAAAAAAAAGCTAGTGTAAATCTTATCCCATACTTCCATTTAACTATACTAATCAAAGGTACAGTAGTTGGGTAATATCCTCACTTTACAGTTGAACTTTTCTGACTTGAAAAACATCCTCAGAATTTGTTTTAGATAAAGAAAATGTTTAGGATCTTACCTATTTTTTTATTCCTCTGGAAGGCAATTTTATACCAGTTCCCAGTATTATATGTCTTTGTTGTGATGAGTGTGAGAGGACCTGACCCAAGCTCAAAGGTCAGGCGAACTTTGCCTTCTACCAATTCTATAGACACAAAATCGCTCTGGAAAACAAGAGGTACGACTGAAGGTTAGGGAGAACATAAGTATGGTTTTGCCATGTTGTGCTTTGATTTTCTGTTCAAGGTTCCACAGTTATCTTAAAGGAAAATATCTTTGAAAGTGATCGTAAATTCATTTTGAAAAACTGTATTTGAAGTTGGCCGACTGATTACAGCCCAGATGTGATTACTATGAAAAACAACTGATGTTTTGATAAGAAATAGCAGGTAAAGTAATAATAAATACATGCATATACTGTATTTTAAAGAAAAGGGTAATATCTTTCTTAAATCTTAGTGCTGTAGCATTCTGTGTGGATGAACTGAAAACCTCAGAGATCGGAGTAACCCTGTGAAATGATGTGCATACCGTTCCATTGGAAGCAATGTAGAGCAGCAATCCATTTGGGGAGAAGGTTCTGAAGAGCATTACAACTTGCGTGACTGTTGAACGAAGTGACTTCTCAATAACAGAGTAACCACTGCCGTCAAAATAAAAGGACGTGTCTTCTTCCTGGGGACTGTGTGATACAACACAATTCATTTAAGTATTTGAATAAGACTACTGTGTTACACAAAACAAAACTATAAGACAAAAAACCAAAAAGGTGAGGTCTGTAATTTATCATCTGTATTTAATCATATCTCTTCCTAAAGAGGTGATTTAAGGCTAACGCAACAGTCAAATTCACTCATATTTATTCAGGCCAGTAATGAACAATCAATGAACGGTATGCAAAAGGATGTATTTGGTCAATATCCAAAATCACTATACTTTAGAACACACACACATAGTGATCTGTTTCTTTTGACACTCAGAATAAGCACCATCTTTTTATGAATGCCTAATTACAGCACCCAGATATATATAGAACATGTTGTATCATCAAGTTCTATCTCAGTACCTCATGAAGCAGCCTTTACATTTGCCTTCCCGTTCAGCGTAATTCCACAGTCCAATATTTTTGCCGTTCAGGGTAGCTTCTCCCATGCAGCCTTTGAAGTGGGTCATTTTCACAGCTGAAGATTTCTGTCAATGACATTGCACAGTGATTGGACTGCAGAATTCAGAAAAAGGATGTAGTCCCAATCAGTAGCCCAGACCGATCGGACAACACTTTACCTTGATCTGACCCCCAAGGCCTCCTACAAAGACGAGGGTTGATTTATTCACATGCAGCACTGAAGATGTTCCAGGGGACGATGCCGTTTTCACAACGGGCTTCTGTGAAGACTTCACTTCTTGAACAGTTAGTGTACCCTGTTTTCCAAACCTAACGCAACAAAACAGAACATGGAATGAAACAACCAAATCCAAGTTGATTAACTGATGAAAAGAACCTCAGAATCTAAAATCCTGCCAATATTCACCGTCAAGACAATTGGGTTTGAAGTCCAAACTACTGTAAAGTTACTTATTTGGGACATCCAGGGTTGTCTGCCTCCTAATGGAAATTGAAATTGTAAAATCTAGTTGAAAGTTAAACTCCTATGCTACATCTTTTACATCATGTTTAACGTACCTGGTTGCATGAATCTGGTGCCACTGGTTGTTGTTAATCTGAAGATCAGGGTACTCTATCCTTCCAATTCCCGAGCCAATATCCCAGAGAAAAGAGACTTTTCCTCGCCGCATCTCCACAGCCATGAAATCAACCTACGAAATGTTGCCAATAGACAATATGAATAAAAGGGCAAGCCATAGTTGCCCTTGATTACTTTGTTGGTGATTTTATTACCCAACATCGTAAGTGACACATTTTATGCTCTCAAGACTCCCCTTCACCATCTCGGAGCACGGATTCAGAAACGTTTTTAAACATAATATTTGCATAAAGACGTCCCAACCCACATTATCTCAAGTATATTGAGTGCAGTTCCAGGAAGATCATTCAGTGGGGGGCAGGTTTGCCAGAGAGCAAGTCCTGCCCATTCAAGATGCTACTGTATGGTAGGAAGCAACTCTGATAATAAACACGAAGAAAGGCTTGCGATGGGGAGGGTTAGCGGAAAAATTACCATTCCCTAGCAATGCCCCAGCGTATCTGAATTCAAATTTTAAAGAATTATAAATATGTAGAGCATGATTTTTGGGCAAATGTACAGTATGATTGGCTGCACCATTGTTCTGTTCTGTAGTTGTTCAACTCTGCTAACAACAAGAACGCGGTTCAGTCTAGCCCAGCCGTCTTTGCTAACCTGGCACAGCCCTGAGCAGCAGAGAGGTACTGCTCAGGTCAGAAGTCACGGGCCCTTGTGTACAGCAGGTCATCACTTGGAAACAATGCAAAACGTGGCTCATTGAAATCCTCAAGTGATTGAAAAATAAGCGTGGTATGCCTTACTAATCTGATTTATTTTTCCAGATAATTAAGCACAAATTAAAATTCCTGCCATGCAGCATTTATTTAATGCCAAACCAAGAGATGCATTAAAAACCAACATTAGACAACACGCACTTTGATTTAATTCTTCCTTCCTTGTTGTTTTTTTTTTTGTTCCAAGATGTTGTCCACTTACACTGGAGCTGCTGCCCATATAGAAGAGCAGGTTGTCTGGTTCTGTAGTTTTCACCGTCAGGGAAAGGGTGTTGAAGTTGCTGGAGGAGATCTCTGGTTTGTAAGCGCGTACACAGTCTCGGTCAGCAGACACGGCCACTTTAATCTGCAAAGGTTAACACAAAATGGCACTCAAGAAAAAGTATACTTGAGGCCTGGTAATGCTGCCAGCATTACTACTGTATTTTCATCATCTACAATTCAGTACACACAGAGTGCAGAATTCGAAAAGACAAGGAAAACTCAATATTACCGAAGCGGCCTGCTTCCGGGCCTGATTGATCAGCTCCTTGATTTCAGACACATTCCGGCTCAAGTTGTCCTCCAGGAGTTTAAGAGGCTTCAAACGCTCAAACAGCAGCTTGGCCCGAGCCTCCATTTCCTTCACTTTCCTCTCAGCGGCGTTTACTGAGAAACAAAATGGGTGTGAATCTTAAAAAACAGACGGCGGAACGGAAATAGTTTAAATGGCTGCTTAAAATACTGCAGAGGCAAATGCTTAAACTGCAGTTCTTTACACCTTGGTATATTAAGACAAGGAAATATGGCAGATATGGTACACCCAGCACATGAAGCATCAATATGGTTTCATTTTAGAAAAAAACATCCAGATAATTCTTCTTTTAAAGATTATGCTTAACATCATTGGTAACACTAAATGGTAAAAATATGGCAAGGTGTAATAGATAATTTTCCCCACTTCGCAATCGCCCTGGAGGAAAAAGCCTTTTCTAACCAGGTTTTGCCATGCAGTATCCACACAGTTATCTACGGTCATCCCAGTCAGGAGGTGACTGCAGTGGCTGGGATTCTCACCGGTCTGCTCGGAATCGTCGACCAGGTCATTAGTGCTCTGCACTGCCGCGCTGGCTCCGGCCACAGCGGTCGAGGACGCCGAGAGTTTCCTCCTGAAGTCTTCGAGGTGCCCGAGGACAGCGGCGAGGGAGGCATTGGCTGCCACAGCCTGGTCTTTGGCCTCCTGGAATCTCTTTGCGGTGTCTGTGAGGCAGAAACGCTCCATGGTCAACCCAGAACGCGTTCAGAAACAGGAGGGAATGGTGGGCAAGATGTGCGGTGCGATTTTTATCGGCCAGTTGGTCTGAGGTTTACACTTCGCCATAGCTGTAGACAAGACCGTACCCGGCCGAGTAAGTCTGAGATCCCGAAAGAGGAAAGCTCTCTTACCGTTGGGAAAACTTCTCAACAGCTGCAAAGGTTCAGCCAGCTGCCCACTTATGTTTTGAACATTTTTCTGAATGCTGCTTAGCTTGTCCTTCTGACTATTAAACCGGACTAGGAGACCTGCAGAGAGAAACCCAGAAACCCGACGTTTCATTAATGAATCACAAATCTTCAGTAAGAGACTTCCATCTTCGCATTAAGCACTCGAAATAGCAGACTGAAGAAGGCATTCCACAAAGCTTCTTCCTATCACACATTCCAAGCATGTTATCCACATCAAAAAAGCACATGTTCAAAATGTATGAAAAGATGTACACAAATCTTAAAAAAATAAAACTTAAATTGATGAATCTTAAAACACACTTTGGTTTCACACCAACAAAACGAGTTTAAAAATAAGGGACTATGAGGTCAGAGAGGTTCTATTACTTTTTTCCAGTAAATGTTTTTGACCATTTTTCATTTTTCAGGAGGACTCACATTAAAGTTAATTATGAATCAACAATCTAAGCAAAAGCGACTCGACACATCATGACCATAGACGATCGGGCAGTAGGAAGCTCACCATCAGTTTTATTGTGCTGGTCAGTGGCTTTGGCCAGAATCTGTGAGCTTTGCTGCACAGACAGGGCACCAGCATCTTTCATTGAGCCTTTGGACAACAGTGTCTAAAGCAAGATGGAAAAAAAATATTTTAAAATGTTCCACCAAGAGATAAGCCTTTCAAATTGCATCACATGAACAGGGAAATCACTCAAGCCTCTTAATCAAGTACATTAGGGAACAGTTTCATGACATTCTACAAAGCATTCTACAACGCTTTTCAACCTTATCTTATAAATCAACAATACTAATGTTTTACTTAAAACTACATATTAGTTTCAGTAACATTTAATACCTTAGCATATGAAATACCATATAGCCCAGACACAATTCATAAACTATGGTTACATCTGAATTGAACCTTTCATTAGATTTTATAATAATTTAATAGGCCTCTTCTAACTTTAGACATCTACATAAAGAATGTCACAAACTAAATACCAATCTAAAGGTCAGACTATTTCCTTCCCCTTTCAGTCTGTTCTCCAAAGATTACATAGGGTGTTCCAGCTGGTTTTTATTGTTAATGTTGTGCTTAAAAACAGGATAAAGTGCATTTGTTGTACCCCTGCACTTTAGTGAACTTTAAATCAATAATTATGCTGGACGCTGTAAGATTCAGCTACTGTATTGTTACCGCCACAGAGCTCATGTGGCACGTCAACTTTCTTAATTCAATGAAAATGAACATCTTCCAGCCAATAGTTGATTTAGCAGATGTTCACAGCATTTTAAAGACACATTTTAAGATTCGTATGAAAAATCTCAATACTCTTGTAATGTCAATAACTAATCAACTCAAACAACTTCCTTTTAAGGAGGTAATCATGAAACGATTTTATCTGTGAAGGAAACTGTGCAAACGTACAGAGCTTGTAAGCAGCCTTTCATTGGCCTTCATCGCGCACGCTTACCAGGTTCAATACCGCAGCTGCAGTTAGATGAGCCTCTTCTGCCTGCCGCTCGGCAGCCTCAATGTCAGCCTTGATATTGGAGTTTGCCTGAGCAGCATTGGTGGCATTGAAAGACATATTCCTGACATCACTGAGCACACTGGAGAAAAGCCCATCGTTAGTGCAACGTCAAATCAGAAAGCCCAAGAATTGCATTCACACTACAGAAGGAAAGAGAACTTAAAGCTGGCTTATATATTAAAGGAATGTGTAAAGGATTACTCCATGCTGAGGTAAAGAAAAAGAAAGAAACATGATGTTTCAGCTGTGGAGCCCTTTTCAAGTTTCTTTTCTTAACCTTTCAGCATGGAATGAAGTTCAGCTTGTTCCCACCGTTTATTAAAAGGCAGACAGCAGTGTTTGCTTTTCAAACGCATGTTGTTGAAAAACAAAGACCACATGTGCCAGCCTTTTTGGAAAATACCGTGTTAACCCAACAAAAGTATAACGATTAAAAAAAATTAAGCATTCTTCATAACCGTGTTGGAAGTCTCATGGTGCTATATTCCATTATACAGTATGGAATAAAGTCAAAAAGCATGTCTTATGACAAGTGATTTAAGAAGCCTGTGGTTTTGACAAAAACAAAGCAAATATCTCAATGCACAAGACTTTTGATACTTCCAAACCCTTGTCTTGTATCTTTTGAATTTCCTTTATGGCTGTTTCTTTAAAAGCCTTTAAAATTAACAATTGCACTGTATATTTGAACATATTCTAAGGAATTGGTGGGGTGGAACAGATGTTTCTCATCCAATAATGCAGTTTACAGTGCCAACAAAAGATCACATTTTAATCTTTAATCTTTGGACAGACGGCATGATTCTGCACATACAGTAGAGCAGTGTAGTCGTAGACTTTGGCAAACCAGTGCTGACCTGTACAGTGAGTCAGCCTGTTTGCTCAGGCCAGCAGCATGATCCTCTGCTCTGTACACCAGCTCCACCACTGCCTTCTTCTTCATTTGCATCACAAGGTTGTCCACTCTCTTTCTCAGCATGGGATTCCAAAGCTCCAGGTCACCGAGCTCTTCTTCCAGATGCTGCAGTGTGGAGGAAGACGGCACTTGTTAATCAGGAAGTTCATCAACTGTCACCCTGTAATTCCCCCCAAAACTCCCTCCCAGCACAGCGTTTTCCTCACACCCTGTTTACACCAAACTTTGTCTTCCAAATGTCCTTGTGAAGATGGAAAAACAATGCTTACAGACAAAATATTTCACATCCCTGAAAAGGCTCCTAGGCCATAAAAATACTTTGGTGGATGAAAACATCTCGTGATTAAATAAATTTTGATTGCATTTTACTAGTAACCTTTATCTTAATTTTATTTAAGCTCAGTTTCAAATGTTCATGTTATGTTTTTGCATATAATCAAAGTGACTGGATTTATTTTTTTAAAGACAGCATTTTCTCAGAAAACAGCACTTCACTTACAGAAGTGATATTAACTAAACTGTCAGCCACAGCTAAGCCATCAACCAGAGCTTCTTGCGCTTCTTCAATCATCACTGCTGCCTCGGCGCTGGTGTTACTGACATTCTGTTTCCTTCCCTGTCAACAAACGAAACAGAACACAACCCATCTATTACTTGATAGCAACATTATATACAATAATCTAAGTTAACAGTCATGAAATATAAGCACATTTTATTTCATAATGCTTTTTGGCCACAGAGACTTAACATAAGGGAAAGAGAAAGAGACTATAGATGTAACAATGTCCTGAATCTACCATTGCTGCTCAAATTTCTTTCATATTACCAAGTTTAATTGGGCTTTCAGACTCATTGCCATCATTTGTGGAACAGGATAAATAACACATCATATACATTTTGCATATTAACAACAACAGGGAGCAAGGTTAGTAATCCCTGAAGGGTAACAATTTAAGATACGCATCTGTATTTTAATTTATTTCTTCTGTTGGAATACATAACTTTCTATAAACAGAGGAGAACGATCACTTTAAGTTCATATGTATTCCTGGAATGTTATATATTACATCTCATTTTTGTTCTGCATTAATCCACCCATCCGTTTTCTAAACACTTGTTCCAGTTCAGGGCTGTGGAGCCTATCCCAGCAAGCAAGGGGCGCCAGTCCATCACAGAACACAGACACACGCACTCACTCACACCAGGGCCAGTCTTCCCAGAAGCCATTTAACCCACCAGCACGTCTCTGGACTGTGGGAGGAAACCAGAGCACCTGAACACGGGGGGAACATACAAACTCCACACAGACAGCACCCCAGGGATTGAACCCAGGGCCCCAGAGCTGCGTGGCGGCAATGCTGACCACTGCACCACCACATAAATCATGGACAGTAGAGCACTGTCGATGAGGGCCTCGGTTCTTATTGAAGAAGGCGCTCACATCGAACTCTGCCAGGTTTTTGGAGACGGTGTGCAGAAGCTGACTGGCATTCCTGGCGCTGGCCTCTGCGGAGTTCACCAGGTCCTGGGTGTCGTTCAGATGGCGTGCCAGCGTGGACAGGGCGCCGCTAACTTTGACCCGCAGCTCCTCCGCGCCCTGCTGGGGCTTCCTGAACTCCCGCTGAACCTGCTGGAGAAGGGCCCTGGCGGCTCTAGGCAGATTTGCAGATCACAGCGTGTCAGACAAGGCACACAGCAAGCAGAGACAAATTACCACCTAACTTCCCAAGTCACTTTAGACCACCGATATGTGTGATCTTTACCAGAATAATCAAGAATGACCAGGAATCAACTGATAACACTTGGATTGATCTATGTTATTGCATCAGTCTCCACCCCCGGGAAAACTGGTTTAAGATTAACTTAAATCTTTCCGGTTTTGTCTAAATTAGACGAAGATACAAATAAGGGATTTATGTAGCATTTCATTGTAATGGGAGACCTCTAAGAAGCTCAGCAGGTGTGAGCCTGGTCAGTACCTGGATGGGAGACCTCCTGAGAAAGCAAAGGTTGCTGTTGGATGAGGTGTTAGTGGGACCAGCCTGGGGGCGTTCACCTTGCGATTTATGTTGGTCCTAATGCCCCAGTATAGTGTTGGGAATTTTTTTACTAGACTGTCAAAAAAGGTGTCATAATTCGGATGACACTCCATGGTTGTATAATCCTGGTTTGGGGGATACACATTGATGGTATGGATGGAGGGGAGTCCCCAATAGCTGTGAAGCTCTTTGAGTGGAGTGTCAGGTGCTAAATAAGTGTAAGTATTATTATTATGAAAAATCAGGTCACTGTTGCGGTGGTGATATAAATGGCACTCTTCTTATTGGACCATACTTTGCTATTTCATGCCAAGAAGCAGTGAGAGTACAGATATTGTACTCTAGCAGGTGCTTGGCAGTCATTTGAATGAGATGTTAAGCCAAGTTATTGCCTATTTCTTCATCAAGGGTCCCATGGTGCTGTTCTCTAGCAGAGCCAGGTGTCCTGCCTAAATTCTAATTTTACCCCACAATTCTGAAAACTGAAACAATTTTGGTGCAATAATTCTACTCTGCAAAATTCTACAGTGTAGTGGGGGCTAATATGTAATTGGGGGGTCCCCTCTATTATGTAAAGTACTTAGGGTTCCTTCAGGACAAAAACAGTTACGTAAATACAAGCAATTACGATTTTTCCAGGAGCACCATTTCCTAAGAAATTACTCAAAAACTGGATTGCCACCCAGTTTAAAATTTCATAGTTGGCATAATGTTAATACTGGAAAATGGTATAAGTTCACAAAGAAAATACATCACAGGGCTGAGCCCTCTGTTTCAGCTTGCTGAATACCAGAGAAAAAGAGAGTCATGGTCACTTCATGTTTTCTTAAAAAAGCACACACTACATTTCAACTGACTTACTTAATTTCATCCCTGCTGGTTGTATTCTCCAGAGTAAAGTCAATCTTTCTCATGATCGCCACCATTGCAGTCATCTCCTGCTGTAGCACAGTGCTATTCGACAGATCCAAATCGCTGTCCACAGTCCTGTTCGCGTCGCTGGCCACTTGTGCAAGAGCTATATTTTAATTAAATTGATGAACTTCAGTGTCATGTTATGATGTTTTTAAAACTTCAGTTTTAAATTAATAATACAATATTTACAGTAAGCAAAAAAAAAGGCACAGCAATTTGAACAAAAGAGAGACCAGCATCTGCGCCACTGTTTAGAAAGGGGTGTGTGACACGATCCAAAAGGGACATTCAATATAAGTTTAAGGATGGCTGCCATTTGGTCAATGTTAGTATTACCTTGGATAGCTGTCTGCATTTTTGTTATGTAACTCAATAGGTCCCGACTCTGGTTAAGTTTCTGCTCAGTGGATTTTTCGAGGTCCAGACCCTCACCATATGCTTGTGTTACCTGGAAAAAAAGATGACTTTGATTCTGAGAAAACCAGATGTATAGGTTAAAGTCAACATTGCTTCAAAAGGGGGGGAAATCGATTTGGTGTTTTGTTGCACTGAGGAAAGTGCAAGGTTACCTTGTGGTGCAGTTGATTAATGTCATCGGTAATCCCTGTCAGCTGCTCATCTATTTCCTTCGAAACATAGCTTGGATGTGTCTCAGAGGACAACAGTGACTACAAAAGAATAAGACAGAGATAAAAGCTGACAAGTATTGACTTCAAAGCACAAACAAGGCTAAAAGAAAAACTTGGCAAGTTAGTGTATTATTATTTTATTTTACCTGAATCACAGACTGTTTTGATGTTCTCTTATGTCTGTGTGGCACCCTTCTAACGACAAAACTGTTACCTTCCACACGGAAATAATGCTCTTCACATTCTCTTTTCCTTTTTAAGGCTTGTTTTTTATTTTTATCTCCTGAAGATTTAAGCTCCCAAGACACAATGGGAAAAACGGTACATGATGGAGAGCCCAACTTTATATACCTCCTATGAATTTTAAAAACAAGTTTAAAACTAGTCTTTCAGAGGTGGGAAGCTCTCCAAAATGTTAAGTACAGGTGTGCTGGTTGAAAGGCAGCAATTATGTTCATTTCCACACACGGTCTCGGGTAAAGGCAAGGTGAAAGACAAAGGCTGTGCTCTGCTCTAAAGTAGAGAGCCTGTGAAGACCTGGCATTTAAAGTGAACGGTTTCAGCCCTCACCTTCACTTCCTCTGTGGTATTCTCAAGCGAAGCCAGGAGACTGTAGGGGGCTAAGATAACACCTGTCAAGTTAACAGACTGCAGAGAGAGTTCCAAATTATCCAGGTCATTTAGCAGGACTCCTGTGCAGTCATCATCGCAGGCTGTGAAAAGACAGATATTCATTTAAATGAGACCGCAGCAATTCTCATGTAATTGCTCTGTAAGACTTATAAAATGGCTTATTAATATTAGGCTTCTCCGTGTTTCAAAGAAGACTGCCTCCTGACATTTACACTGAATTACGCAAAATAAAATGAAGGGCCTTTCATGCGCGACAAGGGCACACTGATACTTCACCACATTACCATTTTAATTTACATTAAAGAGGAGCTGGTAATGCGGGGAAGAAATAAAAACTGGGGTTTCAGCTCAGAGGCGTTCTAGTGGTTCACTTGCACGTTCACTTCCCATCCCGCCCCACACGGAAATCTCCAGATAACACCCGAGAAGCGGCTCTTCCCGGGAAACGAAAAGACCTCAGATACGTACACGTGCACTCCGTGCCGTGGAGGACGTGTCTGGGCTCACATTCGTCACAGAGGTGGCCGCGCACTCCTTTCTTACAGACGCACTGGCCCGTGAGCTGGTCGCAGTGCTCGTGGGCCGAACCAGTGAGGTTACATCTACAGCGCTCACAGCTGCCGTCAGGGTCGCTGGGGTTGCCATAGTAACCTAGGGAACACCTAGTGGGAAAACAAAAATCGAAGGGGAAATAACCATTCATGGGTTAAGGACCAACCTAATTCACGCCTCCTCTGTGAATTATGGGAAGACAGCAGTAATTAGACATTTAAGATTAAAATGTGTTGTAAAGTTATTCATTAAGCTATGTCTGTGAGCTAGACGCGCGTACACACAAAAAAAAACATTAAGGCTTAATGCGTGCAGTAAATGTTTCCTCTAACTTGTGCTTTAGTTCATGTGCACAAATTCTTTGTATTTTTTTAGATATCAGCAATGAACGCAAACTTTTGAATGAAAAGGATGAAAAAAACTGGGGCAGCCATTTTGCCTCACACTGCTGGAAGTAATCGGATTGATATGAAGACTGGTAAAATACACTCTTACAATAATACAAAAAGTAACATTCCATGCTTCATAAGAGTTAAAAAATACTTTAACAAAAGCACAGAAAATAAGGTTTCAAGCTTCATAAGAGTTAAAAAATGCTTTTACAGTGACAGAGACAATGATACCCCATGCTCCTACCTTTCACAGTACTGCCCTTCATAGCCCTGGAAGCAGGCATTGCAGTGGAAGTCACTGGAGCCTTCAGGAACACAAGTGGGGCTGAAGCTGAAAGGAACAAGAGATCAATGCTGCTACCTCATCTGCCTTCACTGGAAACCGATGTTCTCCCAGGAGTTAGAGGCTGGAGTTTGCTGAACAATAACATTTAGCTTAGAGCTTGAGATGGACTGCCTGTAAAATTTCCTTTGCTGGACAAAAAAAGTAAAAAATGTGAGGAAAACATTAAAACTGATATTCAGAATGGCAGATTTTCACATTCACCTGGGAATTTAAACAGTGTTTACACACTCTGTATGCAAAGATGTCTACCAAACGTTCTTCGGTATGGTGTTTTTCACAATATTTTAACACTTCAATAAGAAACTGATGGAGGCAGAACACACTGGCTACGAACCGAAGCAGGTAATTTGTTTTTTATTCAGACAGTATAACCAACTTCAAAATCAACTGTAAGTGTGAAGCATCAGGAATGGAAATTTAATTTAGTCTGTTTTCTTACTCCTAATGATCAATCTGAGACATTCATTTTTGAAAATATTTGTTTCAGGATGTATGATTTCTGTCAAGGCTAAAAAAAGACTAAAAAAATTGATGTAAAAGGGCGTCATTAATATTTAACTTATGAATTCAGATGATTATTGAAGTCCATAAAACAAAAATGCCACCTGTATACGACGACAACTTAAGCCTGGCATCCGTGCGTGTTCTGTATGGAAAACCAATTTTAAGTTGTACATGCACTCCTGATCACAGATGTTTCTGCAGAATTCTTCAGTAGAACTACTGTTACCACAGAGAAACTGGAAAGTCTGACTTGCCACCAGTATGTGCTTCAAGAGGAATGGCAATGACAGACTAAAATGAATAAAGAATAAGTGCCTAGGGAGTTCTCACCATGAATATGAATACAGATTTGAACATACCATTCTTTGTAGTATGCTGCCATCTACTGGTGCTTAGAAGACTAAAGATGTTTTCGATGTTTATTATTTAAATACTGTTTAAGAGATGTCACAATCACAGTAAAATTGGTAGTAACATTTTCTTTTGACTTCTAATCTATTTGGTATACATGGTAAAACACATTGAACATGAGTTTGGCACTCATAGTGGCCAAGTTAAGGCAAGTTAAAGAGACTGAATACGAACCGAGTTGGAAGCCTTACCTTTTTTTGTTGCCATGTGGACAGGCACAGAGTGAGCAATCATTTATTGACCCTTTAACCTTCCCATAGTATCCTGGAGCACATAAGTCACAGTGATCACCCACTGTGTTGTGCTGGCAGCCCTGGTTTAAGAGAAAATAAAACGCAGAAGAGTCTCTCAGAAAAATAAATACAAAGTATTTGAATCCAAACTTTAAAAAAACAAAGTTCTTTTGCCTTTTCAGTGCACACACTTTTATGGCGCTTCCACCACACACAGTGCTGAATGTGCTCTATGAGCTCTATGAGGACCGCTGCCGTGGTAGAATTCTGGCCATCACAGAGGACAGTCACCACCCCGGGCACGAGCTCTTCACCCCACTGCCCTCAGGCAAGAGATATAAGAGCATACGGACACTTACCACTAGATTCTTCAATAGCTTCTATTCACAAGCAGTGAGACTGGCGAACACAATTAGCCATCCCCCTCGGACCACACCTACACCATCACCATCTACCTCTTTATGATTTCTTATCTATTGCACATCTCCAGTCATTGTTTACACGTCTGCATTGTTTACAATCAAACTGTCTACATGTTTACTTGCACATTGTCTATTGTTTGTTTGTACATTGTCTTGATGCACTGTTTGCACTTTGTCTTGTTTTTTACGCTTGTTTTACAATCGAGAGACTTTCTGTCAGTAAGAATTCCATTGTACCAGTACCGGTTACATATGGCAATAAAGTTCAAGTTCATGTGGTCAGCCTCCAGCCTGCTCATGCAGAGTGTCACACACCTGGCACGTCCCTGTGTCCAGATCACAGGTCTGGCTGTGGTTACTGCACTGGCAGGGCACACAGGGCTCAATCAGCGGTCTGGGGCTCAGTGTCCCCACCCTCTTCCGGTAATGCCCGGGCGCACACTCCTAAAATAGGAACAGCAGAATAGGAAAAATTAGATGGGGATAAGGCACAACAGACGAGGGCCTTTTTCTTCCAGATGGTATTTTCATGTTGTTTTCTTAAAGAAGAGGCTTATGTCAATTGCACTGTGCTACTATTAGTTTGTTGCTCGTCCTGCGGTGTACTTTCTACCCAACATGCCCTAGCACTGGATCAATATGAATAAAATAAAATGCATCTGGATGGATTTTTTCCAAGGTGACCACTAAGAACAATGCAGAGCAAACTCCCACACACCATGCAGAAGATGACGCAAAGAGTTCCCTTGGAAAATGACTGTGGAAAGGCAGTACTGACACACTGCACCATTTCAGTTCTCTCACACAGTGTTAAAAAGCCCACTCAGAAACTCTTCCGTGATCAGTGGACATGCGGCTTAATATAAACAGGAAATGCAGATGGTAAAGACAGTGTAACATAACATGTAACAAGTCTAAATGAAAAGCCTGCAACATTAATGTCCTGTATGACATAATCTGTATAAAATGCCAGAAACCGATCCTTTGAAAAATAGCAGTCCCCTAGCTTTAATTATATTTTGTGAGAACTTAATTTAATAGTTCTTTACAAACACAAAGGCAACTGTAAGACTGCCCCACCGAATGATTCACTCAGTAAGCTGTTTTCATGTAATAGTAAAGAAGTGGGCTCTGATATCAATGAAAAGGCCACCATGCTCTTCAGTTACTCTGTTCATAAGCTACGTACCTGGCATGACAGTCCGGCATAACCAGAAGGACACTCGCAGACTTCAATAAAACGAGCCAGTTCGCCGTCAGTGTCCTCAGACTCAAATGCAACTTCCATTGAGATATTAGAAATCCTGCACCACACACACACAGAGTCACAAAATCTAAACATTGAATTAAATGCTCCCTTCAGTTCTTTGACAGTACATAGGTAGACCAAAGATCAAACTAAGGAATGCTGAATGACATATTTTTATTTTACATCTAAAATGTGCTGTTACTGGATGCAGATCAGACTTCTCCCTTAGTCGTATGTGCATCTTAAAATTTTAAATGACTTTTGTCAAGACATCTGACAGCACATTAATGATAAGAAGTGCAAATTTAACAATAGCTTCAAATTTACTGTATACCGCAAAAATAATTTAAATTAACACCCCAAGTTTTGTCCTGTGATCTAAACTATCAAAATCCACACTTCTAGTATTTTTAATCTGTTACATATCTTGAAGATCCCCTGAAATTTGTTCTGGACAAAGCCTTACCTGCTCTGCTGTAATCCATTCCCATACGAAGCTTTGATGATAACATATTCAATGTTGCTGAGGACAGACATGAAGTCAGAGTGTGTGACTGCCTTTTCAGAGACAGCATTAAAATACTTCCATTTGTGCTAGGAAGAAAAACAAATAAAAACATTAGACAAGGGAACCTCTTCAGAATTACTACAGTACCAATCAACTCACAATGATTAATTTGACTCCACTAATACGATGATTGTTACAGGTGAATGGAGGTGTCTCTAAGAATCCAGACCCAATGGGCAACACCTAACTATTATCCACATTTCTACTTCCTAGAGATTCAAACCAAAGAATGCTTACTTAGTTGTGCTGGGTGTGAGACACACTTATCTAAAGTGTCCTCTGGTTTACCTTAGTTAATAAAGTATTGGGCGAATGATAAAGAGTGTAGGATTAAAAAAAAAAAACAGAAAAAAGTGTAGGATAAAAGACAGAGGACAGAACAAGAGACAGGAGGACAGACCACATGAGGCAGAAGAGGGGAGAAGGGAGGACAGAACTTGTGTGTGCCAGGTGAGAGGTCCTTATCCAGATCATCCGAAAAGACCAGACTGGAGCTGAGTATTTGAACATGGCTAAGAGAGCTTGCTATTCTGTGTTTAGGGAACTCTAATTTCCTGCATGAAGAATCCCTGGGTTAAAAACAGCCTCCCCTGATAATTGGATGCATTTTAGAATAGAGAGACAGGTTCCCACTTATTTTGTGGCATCTGGGTCTACAGAGAAAGAGATCTAACCGCAGGCTGCATCTTAGAAGGTAGTTTATCGCATCTTAGGGGCTTTGTAGGTGTTATGAGTTTGGTAGTAATCTTTATATTTAGTAGCAGTCTGGGATTTTTCAGGGTGGTGTAAACTTGTAAATAGAGTAACGTGTGTTTATTTGTGATGTGTGTAGTTTTGTAAATACCACTTTTCATTTTTGTTTAATCAAATGTGCCTGAAATATTGCTCTTTTCACCAAAGCTGTGCCAGAGAACAAATAAGTCGTATGCCTCTAACTATACCAGCCGCTTGGGTATACTGTTGGCAAACAAAGTGAATTAGAAAAGCTTTAGTGTAAAACTATTTGCAGCAAAAACAAAACAAAATCAGTCAACACTTTGAAATTTGAAATCACCTCCTTCAAGTCAATCTCCTGCCTGGTTTTCACCCCATTGTCAGGAGCAGGTACGTCTTGATAGATGACCAGTTTTTTCAGGTGTCCTCCTTTAATGAGGACCTGGGGCTCATTGTTGGAGACTCCAGAGCCTTCAAGAGCGAAGAATGCTGCTGTGTACCTTAGCTTCCCCCCATAGGCCATGAGCTGTGTGAAAACAAGCCAGGAGCTCATGTTTTAAACCAATACTCACATTTCTTCTGCACAGAGTAGAGCAACAAGCTGCCCATGCAGGGCACACTTTATTTTGAGTTTGTTTTTGTGATTCAAAAAAATGCAAAACACATCTTTTTGTATTTCTAGGGAAAACTAGTATTTTCAGGTGATTATATAAAACTTAAACTTAAAAAACATCTCTGTTCATCATCTTTTCCAAACCCAGTGGTCTTAAATCACTAAAATTGACTTCCTTTTGAAGCTAAAAATGTTCAACAATAAAATTTAAATAACAGTGTGACAAGAAACACATTTTATGGAACACAATAGTGCACAGAGCATTTTCATAAGAAAAGGTGCATCAGAGTATAACACAGATCCCACATTCAGTGATTACCTCTAGTACAGTAATTATTGTTTCCCCTTAACCTTTATTTCAGCTGAGTGAAATACTGTAAGCACACAGAATGCCCATGGCCAGGCTGCATTTACCTTATTGCCTTGAAACTGCTCTGGCAGTCTCCAGTAGTATGGGCCAGTCGGTAGTGACTTCTGGACTAAGGAGGCATCTAAGAGGATGTCAGGGGCCTGCAGAAACACGCCCTCCAGCGTGCCAGTCAGGTTACTCTGAGTGACCACACGCAGTTTCTCCTGCTCCGGCTTCAGTGGGATCTGTACATAAACATATGGACATTAGCAAGAAAGACCGGCGCAGCCCAGCACATTCAGGTTTGTTTACCTTTGTCTGACATTTTACCATTTTCAGAGAGTAAAAAAAGATCTTGAGTTAAGGCATACTAAAGGCGTACTCGTGCTCCTGGACTCAATTTAATAGAGCTTGTCCTGTAACACTGATATAGATGTCAGTGTACGTTTCATGCATTATTAGTTTGCAAAAGATAACAGGTACCACATAGTAGGTGCCACCTTTGCCTGCAGTGTTAACACCTTCTACCCTGGGCTCATGAGCTCATCAGATCTCAGAAAGTAAGCAAGGCAGGCCTGGCCAGTACCGGGACAGGAGACCTCCTAGGGAAAAAAGGTTGCTACTGCAAGTGGTGTTATTTGGAGCAGCAGTCGGCTCTCTTCCATCAGCACCAGAATTCACAAACCAAGACCCTACTACAGTGACCCTGTGCTACAGGAGATTCTGTCAATCTGATGAGACACACAGTAAATCCAAAGTCCTGATTACCAGGAAATGTCCCATTTCACATTTAAAAAGGACAGTGCTGTTAACCCTGGTGCCCCGGCTAATTCCCATGCTTGGTGCGCACAGACTGGCTTTCCCTGGAGTTATCCCTTAATTCGGGTGTTGAAACAGTTTCCAGCTTCTTTGTTGAGTGGTGGGGATGCTGCCCTCCTGTGGTGAAGGGGGTTCCCTTCCATATGTAAAAAGAGACTTAAACCTTGAAAGAAAACATGCAGAGCTGCAGACACACCAGCTCTCCTGCAGCCCTGGTAAATGGCCTTCTCTAGTTCGCAGCCTTTCTTCCATATTGTCCTATTTCTAAACGATCCTTGACAATGCGATTAGAGTAAACAGTCTGTGAAGGTTGTCTGGTCTGGCCACACACACTTGCTCTCCTGTCCCACTAGTTCTGGCATGATTTGTAACGATAACCCACCTGCAATCGCTTGGAAAAATGCACAGCAATACTCCACCTTGCGCTGGGGATGTACGCCCAAGAAAGAACTTGTGTTGGAATAATAAATGTGATTATAGCATGGGCTCAATGGGAATGTGTTCACAGGAGCGCTAGTTCTTACAATCTTACATTAAACAGACATTCTGCACTTTTTTTATCTGAAAGTGTATCTGGAGTAATTAAAATAACGGCCTGAACAAAGAGCACTAAGGTGAATAAGCAAAAACAGAAATAGTGCTAAGCAAAGTATTCCTGCACAACAGACAACAATGATTTTCTAACAATAATGGATTAAACCCTGAAAGAATGAAAGATAGAGAACAGGATTACCACATCTGGAGTCTCATGCTTTGTGATACTGCCATTCTAATGACATCAACTAGTCATAAAGTAGGTGAGGTATTTAAATGCGAGGCGAAAGGTGTTGGTATTTAGTGATTACAGTGATCGCCACACTCACGGGAACTCGCACTAGTCCTCCGAGTTCTTCGCACTCAGTGGACACTCCGAAACAGAAGCAAGGGCTGCAGCCAGCCGGGTCATCTGCGCTGAGCCCAAAGGTCCCCTGCTTGCACTCATCGCAGCCGGCGCCGCCCACGTTGTCCTGCACAAGCCAACAGGGCGACAGCGGTCACAAGCAGCACCCCGAGGATCAACCCTCAAGAAGGGCGAGAGAGACGGACAATATCCTCCCCCTTGAAGAGGGCTGACAACACCCAGCACTGATGAAAGAAGGTACAGCACTTCCTGACAGCAGCACTACGTACTGAGCTGAGAGACTAGCAAGAAAAAGGCTCGGAGTGGGTAAGGGCCCACACTGTCAGCCAGGAAGCAGGGCAGAAAATTGAGAAACCACTCAAACAGGGCAGTCTTACACTGACAGGAAAAAGCAATCTGGAGACAGGGTAGTGAAAAGAGAAGTACAGTACTTGCACTGAGACACATTTAGAAATATAAGGCTACTGTGCAAATAACTAGACCAAGTGATAGCTTCCAATCTTCCCCACATCAGCTGAAGCAGGTGAAGCATTTAACAGAGTTCTGCTGCTGGGGAGAGAGGGTAAAAACACAGCCGTCCCAAGATGTGGCAGGTTTCATTCCCGCCGTGCAAAAAAAAACTCAAATCAATAATCAGTTTTGGCAAGATTGCTTTCAATTCTCTGTTGAGTGCAGCTGTCAGTTATTTATAGTCAATGCCTTAAAGGCAGTGCCACTCTTTCTGTGAGCAAAAAAAAGTAACCTGTCTCCAAGTACTTTGCAAATACTTCATTCACGCAGTTTACAGTCTGTGTTAAAAGTAAGAATTGAGTTTAAAAAAAACTCAGTTTCACCAGAACGTAAGATAGAGGTTCAAGTTAAACCTCATCTTTAGAGTTAAGTATGTTACACGTTATCATTGAACAGATAAAACTGAAGGAGAAAGGAAGCAATAATATTAAAACCTTGCAGACACAGTTGCCCAGGTCTTCCTCACAGCCACAGACTCCCAGCTTCTCATCACAATACTGCTCTCTCGTGCCGTTAATGTTGCAGTTACAGGCAGTGCACTGTGGGAAGGCTCTGAACCCCAGTGCGCACTGGTCACACCTCCGTCCCCCAAACTCCACATGACATTGGCACTGGCCACTGGTCAGGTCACACTGGGAGCTGGAGGACCCAATTACACTGCAGCCACAGGGCTGAAAAAAAGAACAGAACAGATCACGATCACTGGGGTGATCACTCAGGACAAAGATACAAACGGAATGCACCTCCATAAAAAGAAAAAGAGCGACAGCTGAAATAAATGTCATTTTCTGTAGTTCTCTATATATTTCTGAACATGCCAACATTATGAGCCTGGTTAAGTAAAGATGTAATATCCTTAGAATGTGGTTTATACTACCTTTGCAAGGGGGGTTTCACTTATTTCATAGCATTGATAAGGTCTCTAAATCCACCTACTGTATCTCAGAGAGGGACGTTTCACATTTGTGGTTAGGCAAACAATTAGATTGGAAAGCTGAACAACTGTGCAGAACTGGAACTCAATGAAAGCTGATGATAAATAATGATAAAAACTGCTCATTGTTTTTACTGCCAACACATAGGAAGGGGTTCACAAGGAGGCCCGGCAAGGAGAGGTTTTTCACTCTGAGCATAGTTTGAGTCCTGGGTTGAGAGCCTGGACCACGACAGTGACCAGCTGGTGCACAGGAGGTACAGCACAACTGTCAGAGAAACATCAGGGGAGATTTGGGCATTTCAGGAAGAAACCTCTCGGATTACTGCAAAGGGACCGGTCGGGCATCTTGTAATGACATCAGTGGAAAGCACAAAATGATCTCAAAAATGACCAATTAAATTGGATGGGTATGCATTTAAATGGTGGTCCAATAATTAAATGTATATATTTAAAAATGGAATAAAGCTCTGAATACCAAAATACAATGACCTTTACTAGAAAGTCTTTGGCCTAATGTTGTGAGGTTGCTTTCACACTCAACCAGAGGCTAGGCAGTTACCTTACACCCCAGCAAGGAGTCGTGTCCCCAGTAGTTATCCTCACACTGCTCACATTTCTCCCCCACAGTGTGGGGTGGGCAGATACATTCCCCCGTCTCTGGATTGCAGGTGTTGTGGGTGTGGGCACAATCACATGCTGACAGAGGAAAGTGATTACCAGATGCAGATTCGAGCACCGTGTTTGCCAGAAGATTCAAAACTGTTATTGTTTAAAATGGAAATACTAAAAGGCAGCTACACGCATTACACCCAATGACGCGTTCTAAACAGAATGATCTAAAATACTTGACAGTACCAAACGTGCGTGTTGTTTGTGAGTATTTTTTGGTAGTTGGAAACGATTCCACACACTTCCCACGCCAATTTTGAGTCTTCAACGTCAGAAAAAGATCTCACTCAAGTTTCTTAGAAACATGTTATAGAAAGAAGCGAAGACTGAAGTATCTTACCCTTGCAGCCTCCATCTTGGAAATGATAAAATCCGTGTTGGCAGCGGTCACACTTGTCTCCTGCCACCCCTGGGACACAGGCGCACTGCCCTTCCTCGGTGCATTCTGCCGAGAGCGACCCAGCCTCGCTGCAGCTGCACCGTTCACAGCCCACACCACTGTTCAGCCCAAAGTAGCCAGGCTGCAAGACACACACACACACACACCCAAAACGCATTTCCACCTGGTCCATAACGTGTTATCGTCTGCTTACAGCAGTGCACAAATATAAAATCTGGAAAGAATCAAGTGTTTAAGTTTGCAACATTTTTCAAATTCTTTTTTTTTTTTTTTTTTTTTAGCACCGATCTCCGCTAGTGTGCTATGTCAGTTTTGAGAATAAATGGATGGGCTCGAAAACAAAAAATGTTCTATCATTAATCTTATTTTTTTGTTGTTGTTCCGTCTCCTTCCTTTTTACAAATAAATCATATCCAAACAAACATTTTAACAGTATTTTTTAGAACAAACATCTAAATCCACTGTCAATTTTTACTTTCAGGTCCAACAAAGCGCTACATTGCCATTAAGCTGATGCTGTCCTTACTAAGAAAATAACATCTGGGAATCATTCTTGAATGAGCATCTGCTCAGCTGCATAGCATTTCCAGACTAAACTGCAGTCACAGAACTATCTTCATCTACATAATTTATTGCACTATCTATCCAAGTATGAAAAGACAATCTGATCGCCATAATTAATTCTGAAAACACTTGCTTATATTTCTGACCAGCTGGAGTCATCTGGAACAAACACGTAAGCAGAGAAAATCCAACTGCCATACCATGTAATGTGAGGAATTCTAATTCAGTTCCAAAGCCTTGTCATATTGTAGCAAAGATCCCAATGGAAGCAAACATATAAACAGTTATTTGAATTTCAGACCCAACATACTGTAACTTAATGCAGAACATTGTGTTTTTTCTTTTTATTTTCTGGGGAAAGTTAAACTCTGGTTTGTTGAGGACATTTTGTGTGTTTCTAAAGTACTGTTGAGCAAAACATCATTTATCACTCACTCCCCAGGTAAAAAAGGAAGATGAATGAATAACAAAAACTACAGCTCATGTTTCCACATTACATAAAATATACATTAGCAATATGTGGAAGTTTGGGGTCAATAAATCTTAACCGCATGGAAAATAAAGGAATACCTGGCACTGGTCGCACTTCTCTCCGATGACATTAGGTTTACACTCACACCGTCCCGTCCTCACATCACAGACACTGGAGAGCGAGCTGTTAGCATAGCAGCCACAGCCTGGCAAACAAATACAAACACACATTCAAGAACAACTGTACTCTGATGGAGCTCATTCCATTTTGCACATATAAAAATACTCATTTTTAGGGCGGAGCAGTGGCACTGTGGCCAAGGAAGGTTGCCGGTTCAAATCCCATGGCCAGCAGAGGAAACCTACTCTGCTGGGACCCTGAGCAAGGCCCTTAACCCCAACTGCTCCGGGGGCGCTGTGCTCTGACCCCCAGCTTCTCTCCCTGTTTGTGTGTCTCATGGAGAGCAAGCTGGGGTATGCGAAAAAGACAAACTCCGAATGCAAGAAATTATATATGTCTAATAAAGTGATCTTAATCTTAAAAATACTAATTTGGTCTGCATGGTACCAGAGGGTCTAAATTGTGGCTTGTCTGCTTTTCTGCACAAGATGTCAGTAGAGCGCCTAGCTAAAAAATATTAAAAGGTTTCTAGCTGGTCTGCTTTTGCCCCATTGTTTAATTGAATGTGTACAAAAGTAGCGATTTAAAATATACTACAAAGTTTATTTTATTAATCTCAGCTATTAGTTCAAAACCAATGCCATGGAACTCAATTCTAAAATACCAAGTACTGCACTTGGGTTGGTATGATACAAGCTACCCAGTCTGATACCTGTGAGAAACAGTTGGATGAAATAAGCTACTTTCTAAAGGGCTAGATGGGGCAAACAGCCTCCTATCACTTGTAACCTTGTAACTGTTCTCGGCCACCATGTTAATAATTCAACCTGGACAGTGCTGCTGTCTCACAAAGAGAATCTTCGAGGTGAGCTGAAGCTTATTAAATCACCTAGAAGGTTAAAAATAAGAACAAGCAAGCAAACAATGTTTCAAATTTAATGATGTGAAACGGGGTCAATAAATGGCGATATTGACGCCACAGAACTGAGAAAGAAACCATAAAATGGCTAAGGGCTAGGATTTTGGAGCATGGTTATGACTTCCATTTCACTGCCACCGTACAACCGCCGGAGGACAGCTCGGGCAGCTTTCAAGGAGCGCTTCTGTCATGGAAGCCGGCGTGAAAAATGTGGCAAATACTTTTTGGAATCTCCGAAACGGTCAAAGCGACCATTCGTCACAATACAGTTCTTTAATGTCAAGGGACATTAAAACACCCAGAGGACATTAAAACACCCGCGTCATGACCGAAAAGGGCTTGCAGTAGTGAAAGCGCCGGCCGAACACTTCTAAACCGTTGTGCAAGATTTCAGCACGTACCTTGACAGTTTTTAGCCACGACAGCGTCGCCGAAATAGCCCTCCTGGCACCTCTCGCAGTGGGGGCCCGCTGTGTTGCCGATGCATTTCAGGCACTCCCCGGTCTTGGGGTCGCAGTGGCCGGGCTCCTCCGGATTCACGTTCCCATTGCAATCACACGGGACACAGCCCTCCCCCGGCACCGTCGGGTCTCCATAGTAACCATCCGCACACCTGAGAACAGGAAGCCGAGTCAGACCGTGGCCCGGCAGGAGCCCCGGGTCTCCCGCGCGCCCGCCCACGGACCCAACTTAAACACGTTCAGGTCTTGGGGAGACGTGCACAAGAACGATTCCATTCAAGGCATCGGCACCTCCGATGTAAAAAGTGTTTTTCTAAAAAGACCAACAACATCTGATCATTAGAAAAAGAGAAAATAGTTATGAGTCCAGTTGAGGAAAATGTATCTAATTAATAACACTGGAAGAGACAGCACGGCATATTGAACTGTCAAGTTTTATGACTGTGCAATATCGGGTTTCTTCTGCAATGATCCCATCATCTTAGCCTGAGAGGAATACATGTTTCTAATCCCTTGGGGAGAGGCTGTGTGGTTTAATTACTCACAAGGGCTGACTGCTCAGTGCCTTGTTGTCACACAGGATTTATGAACTTGTGGATCAAATGAAGGCCATCAGCATTCTTTCAGAAAACAACTACGTGAAATTAGCATTTTCCATTGCAAGT